AATAAACAAAAGCAAACCAAGGACACTTAGAGCGAAGCTAAGTGTCCACTACATGTCTGTAGGGTTAGATAGAAATAACACAGAGGATAAATGCAGTCCTGAGGTGCACAGGCACCTAATATGAACACTAAGAGCCAGTTCAGAAACAAAGTCCCACCAAGAATCCAACTAAAAAAAACCCAGAAAAAAGTCCCAGGCTTCATCATGTAAGCATCCAACATTCAAGTGGAGCTTGAATTCAGGAGGAGTATGCTTGGTGTGACATATGTGATATTGCAACACAACACATGGCTGATATTGCTGATGAGTCGTCCTCTGTTGATGTGGGCTGACCTGTAGACAAAGAAACCAATGACGAGGATATCAACAAGGACTACCATTGATGCTGCCAAATTATCATTCTTCTTCTATTCTATTATCAACTTCAACTGTTTTCCACAGTTGCTCTATTGACAAACACTCTAGCCACAATCACTGAAGTGACACAGCATGCTGAGCCAATCCCATACCATACTTCTGCTCTAACTGGGGCAGGGTGAGTTACCAAACTTTTGAATGGCCACCCCAAGAGGATTTGCACAGAACTTGCAGTTCATAAGCATGTCTTCAAGATACTGATACTGCTGCTTCAAGAACATGGCTACACCCATTCCAAGCACATCACACTTGAAGAACAACTTGCAATCTTCCTCTACACCTCTGTAACTGGCTTGTCAGTCAGACATGTAGGGGAGCATTTCCAGAGGTCAAATAGTACAGTTTCCAAGTGCATTTCTGATTCACATTCCTTCCAATATACTGATCACTGTTGTAGGTACTTCAAAAGAATTTTGTTTGCATTTTCATCTCATGATATATACAGCAAGTTTGTACAATTACCATGCAGTGATGACCCTGTCCACCCCACAATTTTCAATAACCCCAAGTTTGACCCATTTTTTGTGGATGCAATTGGTGCAATTGACAGCATGCACATTACATGCACTCTGAGCATGGAAGAAAGGGACACCATGCAAAACTGCAAAGACTTTACATCCCAGAACTGTCTTGTTTGCTGTGACTTTGAAATGTGCTTCACATACATGCTTAGCAGGTGGGAGGGATCTGTGGCTGATGCATTGATCTACCATGATGCTTAGCTGAGTGATTTAGCCATTCTGGATGGCAAGTACTACCTTGCTGATGCAGGGTTCCCAAACTGCCCATAGCATTTGATTCCCTTCTGAGGACAGTGGTATCACTTAGTGTTGCAGGTGTAGTACTCCAGCACTCAGCAACGCTAGTCCCTACTAGCACTTGGTGGTTAAACCACACCAAGTAAGCCTAGATACCTTGACCAAATAGCTCAGTGGTTAGAGCACCCGGTCGAAACCTGGGAGGTCCAGGGTTCAATCCCCTGTCTGGTCGCATTTATTGCAACACTTAGTGGAATGGGGCTGCATGCAATTATGGTAGGTGATTTTCACCACTGTCTTTTTCTCTGATTCACATGGATTTCTAGGCCAGTAAATGCTGAGGAGTGTTATAACCTCCGCCATGCTCAGCTTTGCAATGTGGTCGAGTACATAATCAGTGTCATCAGGTGGCACTTCCAAATTCTTGTCATACCCCCAGAATTTGATATGAACATTCAATCCCATATCCCACCAGCACTTTGCTGCATCCACAATATCATTCACAAGTATGATCTGCTGGAATTAGAAGATATCAAAGGCTTTGTATTGCCTCTGCCACCAGATGGATCAGCACATGCAGTTGGCTCAATTGCCAATGCTGTTCCAACTGACACAGACTGCCTACAGATGACAGAGAAGTGGGGTGTGATTGCACAAAGCATATGGGCTAGTTATGTTGCAGAACAAGGGAAAAGGGGGGATCCAGTTACCAACTAGCTACATATATCATTTGTTTTCCCTCAATTCTTAGACATCATTTTTTCAAATGCAAGTTGATGAGTGCAGTGTTCAAATCAGAGAGAGATGTATTGCAAGCTGATGTAAAGATGGATTTAAAACTACAAGGTATGAGTATGACATATGATACAATCACTGCATACATGCCCTGATCTCATTGAGCCTCTTCTCGAGCCAAGCACATTGAGCTGCAGCAAAACAATCAGGATCACTTGTGAATGATAAGTATAAGCTAGCATATGTGGCATTTGCCTGGAACTGGTCTGTGATCCAGGCAATATTGATTGGTGAGAACTTATCTACATCTATTGCAAGAAGTGTCTCTGTTGCCTTGTGGACCAGCAGATGAACTGGATCTTGCAAGAAGTTGGGCTTGGACTGGGATGTGGTTCGATAAGGTGCAGGTGAGCCTGCCATTGTTGTGATTGCATCAGTGATGGTGTTCATCTGGTTATGCATCAAACTGTGGAATTCTCCTAAATCCTCCCCTATGCACTCAAGTGTCACATCTACTCCATGTTGCTTTCAAGCCAATGAGGTGGATGAAGCTGCAGTGGATGACAGGGCACCTGATACAACAGACAGGCCATCATCATCATCTGCCTTCCACTTTTGAGAGCACTCCATATGAGCTGAGATGCTGGAGGATGGCTTGACAGAGCTGATAGATGAACCATTTAATGAAGTTGGGGCAGATGGGGGAAGTGATGGTGGAGGGTGCTGGGTATTGGGAAACTGTTGGTACAGGGGGAGCTGGGTTTCCACCTACCAGTGAGTAGAATGTGGTGTGGTTCAGAGATGGCAATGCTGGTGGAGCATGGTCCTGGGATGGTGTACTTCCCCCCATGCTCTCACTCTCACTGTTGGAAGGACCCAACCCAGCATTTGACAGGCCTCCAGCAGAATTGTTGATGGTCAACACTGAAAAGTGATTCAAGCGCTTGCCCTTGGAGGGCATGAGGTCTCTCATCTGTTTGTAGTGCACCCAACCCTTGTTTTTATAAGGGCCTGCATCCTTGTGGATCTGTTGATGTCACCATTAGCACAGGAAATTCCATGCTAATTGAATCATACCCATACCTTCAGATAGTTGTTCCATGTATCCTTGCTTGCAACACCAATATTGGCCCCTGCCTTTAGGGAATATGTGAACCCAGACACACAGCAGAGATGATCAACAGCTGCATATGTAGTTCATAGCTGCATGATATCAGCTGGTTATTCTGTCATTTGACTGATAAGCCACACAGTCTTTTCCATTTCTGTTTACATGCTTTAGGGGTCTTGATACCCCCTTTGACAGGCTCAGGAAGGGCTTCAGCAGCCACATTCCAAAATGCATCCTTAAAATTTAAACCATCACCAGCAGTTGCCTTGTGGGAAGCAATGAAATTAAGAAGGGCCTTGACATCATTATCTGACCACAACACTGGCTTGCCTTCTGTGGACTGCAAAGTATGTGATTTACCCTTGGAGGGTGATTTTGCTGTTTTATGGGGGCACATGACAATGGAAGGATGAAGAAAGATCAATGGACTGTGGAATGTCAGGCTCATAACCCCTGCACCTAGCATGGCATCTTGGCTGTCCACCAAGCATCTCCTCTCAAATTCAAGCTCCACTTGAATATTGGATGCTTATGTGATGAAGCCTGGGACTTTTTTCTGGGTCTTTTTTAGTTGGATTCTTGGTGGGACTTTGTTTCTGAACTGGCTCCAAGTAACCCCACTCCAGCCTAGATAACTCAAGTCCGATGTTTTACCCCTATCTCTGGTCCACTCTGGCCTCTCAGCCTTGCACTGCTCCACCCTGGTCTTCCCAGGTCCATGTCCAGGTCACCCAGACATAACTCTGGTCTGTTTTCTGGTATTTGTGCTATACTTAGTTTTAATCCTCTTGCCTGATCTCTGCTTACTGTACAAATCCTGTGTCTGACTCCAGTTATGCTGGTCACCCAGACTTTGGCTGTTAGTCTTGGCACAGCCTCTGTGGCTGTCCACCCCTTGCTAATCATCTTTCTAATAGCTTATCAACAAGTCTGGCTCTATGTTCATTACTCCAGACCAGCCTCATGTATTTAACCCCTGTACATACTTTGTAGCACCTCAGTCAGAATATCAACTTAGTATTACCCTCAACTCTGTACTACCCTCCAAGTCTACTCCATAGCTAAGGCTGAGCCTTAAGCTATCCCTGGCCCCTGTCCTGGACCTCTCCCCAGCTTGCATATGGGTGCAGCACATAAGCTGAGACCAGGGAGGTAGATCCAACCCTGGACCAGCTTCCTGATGCATGCACTCTGAGACCAGTCAGTTTCCCATGGTCTTGGTCTTATTCCCACACTCCCAGCCTTGACTCTGGACCTCCAGACTTGGCCCCTGACTTCTGGCCTTGACTCTGGTCAACTGGACTTAGCCCCTGTCACTCAGACTTGAAGCCTGGTTGCCTGAGGGTAAACCCATACTTGACACTATGTATGTAAGTTCCTTTTTTTACTGCAACAGCACTCCTTAATAAGATCATACTAAATGCATCTCAGCCCTCCTCTCTGAAGGCCAGTTGGATGTCCCATGATAGCTTCAGAGGCCATGATGGGATGTCCCATGATAGCTTCAGAGGCTACTGTGGGACATCCAACTCCCCTCTCTGGAGACCAATGGGAAGTCCCATGATATCTTTGGAGGCTGCAGGCACTTCAGTCAATCCCCTTTGGAGACCCATTAAGTCTATATATTTCTATAGGTTTATACAGTATATTTATGAGGTCCAAACAGGTTGGGTATACCCAGCTGCTGCCATGGAAAGTTTCTTCTCCAGTACCCTGCCTGGGGGCTCCAGGGCAGTCATTGATTTCTCCTGGCATGGCACTGATCACAGGTGTGTTGTGTTTTTCTCATGCAATTTTCCACTTTCTGATAAGATAAGCATACCATCATGATTTCAAAATCAGGAGCTACAACATTCATTATGATGACATTACTCCATTATCACTTGCTGGGGTATTAACACCTACTAGTGCTAGTTGTAGTAGTTGGTAGTACTGCATAGTGTAGGCTATGCTACACTTTGTAGCATGCATTTTTGACCATGACTGACTATGAAAAGTGTAGTGTGAGTCAGAGTGCAAAAGTCACAGGATCAATGCTGTAAGGGTCATGTGACCCCAAGTGCTCCAAATGTGCTGCCAGCAAAGTCACATGACATGACACTACTACCAAGGTAACAAGGGTCAAGTCAGTTTGGAATATGTACCAAGCATGGTATGCATATACCAATCTGAAAACATCAGAAGGTTGGTGACTTGCTTGTCATTGACTTCTGTGAGATGCTAACTTAATTACAGAGGACATGCAGAGTTACTTCAGCTGCCACATGCTACATTATGGTGCTCACAAAGATGATGAAGAATATCTGGAACTTTGGGGTGAGATTTGCAAGTAATGGAAGGAGAGCATAAGTGGGACAAAGGATATGAGCTCCAAGGCAATGGTAGGGCATGTGATGACCTGTAGGGATTTGTTCACACAAGCTGTAAGTATCCCCTGTTGCTGTCATTTATTCATGGATTAAATCCTTATGCAGGCACATATGTGGTGTAATGTCAAGGACATCCATGTATTTGGATGTGTAATCTATGGTGGCAATGACAAAGCTGCCTGCCAGGCTCAGGGCATCTTTGCCAGCTCTCCAATATGTATGGAGCAAGCAAGCAAGAGGCAGCCAAGTGTCATAAGGCTGCTAGATTACCTGGCCACAATTGTGAAGTAAGTACAATTTATTGTGGCTACAATTGTCCTTGCCATGTCTCATGTTACTCTAGATATAAAATCCTTAATCCTGGTGTTTCAGTTGCCTTACCTGACTTTGGGGCTCTATCATGAACAACATGTGACCCAGTTTTCATGTTGAAATCCCAAGAATCCAGGCATGATCATAATTGCCAAGTTCTGCCTCAAGTCTTCTTGCACAAACTATGTAAGTGCTGGCCACGTATCCATGACTGAGCTGCTACCAGATCTTCCTCACAGATGAAGTGGGTATCACAAGTGCACAGAGGAATGTCCCATGGAAGTCTTTACTGAACCTTCCCTACATGCACCAGCACACCATTGTTAATTGGCCTGCTGCTGTCCCCACTGTCAGCCCAGATTTCAACATCAAGGGCCTCAGTGCTGATGAGCTCCATGCTTTAGCTGTCCCTTTTCTGAAGGAACAAATGGGTGCTGAGTTCCATTCTGAGGTCCATGCAGATGATGATGGTGATGATTCCTTGGTGCTAGTACCCACTGCATCATGTGATCTCAGGGAGTGGACACCCAGTGAGTTCAAAAAATTCTACATAATTATATGGACTCTGACTTGAATAATCCAGAGCAGAAGGAGCTAGTTAAGATGGTTAGCCCAGAGATGTTTGAAATCCCACTGCTAGTAAATACATTCAACTGACCCCTTTGTATTCTTTCAGATTTGCAAGCCTTCATTAAAGCAATCCCAAAAAGCATGGGTCCCTCTGACTCAGAAAGGACACCCTTGCCACTTCCTCCATTATCACCCCCTGTTGAAGATTCAATGCAGTCACTTGTACATGGTAGCATGGGAGTGAATCCATCTGCAGACTATGATCATTCCACTACCCCCTCCTCACCCATGACCAATGTGCTGGGGGTGTTCCATGTGCATCATCCCTCTCCAGTGGGCTGGCATTCCCTTCACTTCTCCACAACCCCAGATGAAGAGTCACACCATGTGCACTGTCCCTCTCCAGTAGGCTGGCATTCTCTTTGCCATTCCACAACTCCAGATGAAGAATCACAGCAGCTGCCTGTGTGAGGTGGTTGGCACACACATCATGCCAATCAAGCAGCATCCTGCCCATCTACATCCTATAGTACTAGGCACTCCCACAGTTGCTCTCAGACTCTGTGTCCTTGACACCACTCCCAGCAGGCATCTCACAAGCATCATAGGGAATATCAGGTGAATTCAAGTGATGATGATTTGCCACACTTGCAACAGAGAACCCAGCACAGGTATCCACATTGTTGTGTTCTGCATTTTGTGACTAACAATTACTAGTGTTGTCCAGTACATCTATCAGGAGCCTCCACATGAGAGGTGTCATCACCATGATTCCAACAATGAAGATCACCATGTGGTGTGGTATGCACACTAAGCAGGTAGATCATGTTTCACTCATTGTCTTGTGTGAATCTTATGTTTGGATGATTGCCCCTCATAGTCTTATACCATCATTCCCCACCTATGCAATTATTTTTCTGGCATTCCTTGCAACTCCATCTTTTGCCCTTGCCATTTCTCACTGTGGTCCCCCATCACTGGCTGCATTTCTGGACCAGTGTTATACCCTGCCACATGTTAGTCACCTATCATTTGGTCATTCTCAATTAATGATTGGATGTCATCAGACTTACCCACTGGGCACTTTCATTTCCATTATTACTCACTTCCACAAACTAGCTAACTTTATAGACTGGTATTATATCCTCTTGGACTGCTTTATGGACTAGGTACTACCTGTGTGCACATTGTTGGATACCTATTTGTCCTTAGCTATGAATGACAGTGATTTATGTGATATCAATGTGAATCTAAAGGAACAAATATGGAACACATGCACTTGTTCAGATGTTAGGGGTTCCAGACCCATATGCACTTGGAGATTCCCCATGCTCACCTGGAGATTCTCCACACACACATGGAGATTCTCCCAACCCACATGGAGCTTCCCCCAACCCACATGGAGATTATCCACACCTGCTTGGAGATTCCCCATACTAATTTGGAGATTCTCCACACCTGCCTGGAGATTCTCCACACCTGCCTGGAGATTCTCCACACCTGCCTGGAGATTCTCCACACCTGCCTGGAGATTCTCCATGCCTGCTTGGAGATTCCCCCATACTCACATGGAGAATCTATACACATGCTTGAAGATTCTGCCAACCCACTTGGAGATTCCCCATACTAACTTCAAGAATCTCCACACATGCTTGGAGATTCCCCTGACTGACTTGGAGATTCTCCACACCCACATGGAGATTCCCCTGACCCACATGGAGATTCCCCATAGTAAATTGGGAGATTCTCCACACCCACATGGAGATTCTCCCAACCCACTTGGGAATCTCTTAATCCACTAGGAGGTTCTCCACACCTACTTGGAGATTCTCCCAATGCACTCGGAGATTCCCCATACTAACCTGGAGATTCCCTCAACCCATTTGGAGATTCCCCATACTTACTTGGAGATTCCCCATACTCACTTGGAGATTCCCATACTAATTTGGAGATTCTCCACACCTGCTTGGAGTTATATCCAAGAATCTCCAAAGTAGATTCCCCACCCATTCTTGGGGGATTTCCCCACTCCCCACGATAGTTGGGTGAGCAGTGGAACCAATGGAGCTGACAAGCTGACCTATACTACCAATGTAGGAACATTCTCTACACCATAATGGATACCAGCAATGGCCTTGGCTGGTTCACATATCTCCAGAATAACCTGGGGGATTCCTCACACCTCCATGGAGTGATTGTTCTCTCACAGTCAGATTTATGGACTCTTCTCCAAAAAGTCACTACACTTAATCCATATCAACTGGGTTGCTAAAATCCATCATTGCTACCTGTTGAAGCACCATTTCACCTGGAGCAAGTTGCATTTGCATCCTTTTTAGCATGGAGAATGTCCCACTGTGGCCCTATTTCACCTGGAGAAAGCTTCATTTGGGTCCTTTTTAGCATGGAGAATGTCCCATTGAGGTCCAATTTCATCTGGAGAAAGCTTCATTTGGGTCTTTTTTTGGCATGGAGAATGTCCCATTGAGGCCCTATTTTGACTGGGGGAAGCTTCATTTGGGTACGTTTTAGCATGGAGAATGTCCCATTGAGGCCCCATTTCAGCTGGAGAAAGGCCTATCTGGACCCCAGTCACCCTGACATATTCAGGATAATGTATATTAATTTTGGCAAAATCCTTTTCTCCCACCTCTATAAAATGGCAGGTGTGGAGAATCCCCAAACATGGTGCTGGAGAAATGATTTTCCCCACCAGTGGCTGGGGATACCTGACCCATTGAGACCTCATAGGTGTTAAGTACTGGTTTACCCTCAGCTGACTGGGCTTCGAGACCAGGTGACAGGGGCTAAGTCCAGGTGGCCAGAGTCAAGGCCAGGAGACAGGGGCTAAGTCTGGTTGGACCAGAGTTAAGGCCAGAGGTCAGGGGTTAAGTCTGGAGGACTGGACTTGAGACTGGGAGCATGGGAACAAGACTGGGATTGTGGGAAACCAGCCAGTCTTGGAGTGTGCACAGGGGGAAGCCAGTCTGGGGTTGGATCTACCTCCCTTGGTCTCAGCTTATGTGCTTTACCCTTATGCAAGCCAGGGAGAGGTCCAGGACAGGGGCCAGGGATAGCTTAAGGCTCAGCCTTAGCTATAGAGTAGGACTGAGGGTAGTACAGAGTTGAGGGTAATACTAAGTTGATATTCTGACTGAGGTGCTACAAAGTATGTACATGGGTTAAATACATGAGGCTGGTCTAGGGTAATGAACATAGAGCCAGACTTGTTGATAAGCTATTAGAAAGATGATTAGCAAGAGGACAGCCACAGAGGCTGTGCCAAGACTAATAATCAAAGTCCAGGTGACCAGCATAACTGGAGTCAGACACAGGTTTGTACAGTAAGCAAGATCAGCAAAGGGGACTAGACTAAATATAGTACAAACAAAGGAAAACAGACTGGAGTTATGTCTGGGCAACTCAGACATGGACCTGGGAGGACTGGGTGGAGCAGTGCTGTGAGTCAAAGTGAGGAAAGGTGGTGAAAACCAACCAAATCCAACACAAAAGACAAATAAGAGCAAGTGGTGGTTTGCCTCCATGGAACCTGGAGGGCAGAAAAACCTGATGTGGGGGGGGACTTCAAGTAGAGTGCTCCTGGTGCAAGTCATTGACAAGTTATGCAGGAGAAGATGAACAAATGCTGATTGAGAAGGGGGTGCTGAATGGAGCAAGGGTGTTCAGCCTAAAGGGCTCCTAGCACAAGTCAATGTTGAGTTACACAGGAGTAGTGGGATGGCTAAGCAAAAACTGCCGACTAAGCATGGGGTGGACTGCAGATGATGAAGGATGGTAGATAGACTCTTCTAAATGAGCCCCAACTACCAAGTATACAAATAATGACAGATAGACCCCTTCATGGAGCCTCAACTGTTGATGACAAGTTATGCTCAGAAGAACTGAACTGACTGCTGAGTGACTTCTGGATTGCTTGGGTTGTAGCTAAGCACATGGGGATTTATATACTGTGGGGGGAACACAGCTTATAACAAACAAGGCACAAATGCTTGGTAAGTAATGAGTAAGGACTGAGTAATCATGATGAGTAAGTGAGGAATGAAAAGTAAGCAAGCAAAGAAGATTGGTAAGTATTGGCAATAAACAAGTCAAGGATAGTCAAAATATCACAGAATGAGTCAAATAATGTCAGAAACTGAGTAAGCACACTGATATCACATTAGGGGGGGGCAATGCAAGTCAGATCTCAGCAGAGACATCACTAGATCCAAAGATGGCATGACAGATGGACAGTGTTTCCAGATAGGGAAGTATTAATTCCAGAATTGAAGGGCATGAGTCAGGCATCAAAGGGGCTAAGGCATTGGGGGTCTGTTGGGCAACAGGAGCATATGCAATCATGTCTCCCACCCTTTCATCCTCTCAGCAAAGTTAACAAAAGCTTCATGGACAGGGCTCTGATGGAGGAGGAGAAGGGGGGATGTCCTCTGCTGGATCTTGCAGTAAGAAGGCAAGATGCATGTCATACTCATCATGGATGTGATCAGGGAGGCTGGAGAACAGTAGACTATGCTGCAGCTGTCACAATGTGGGGAGAATGATGGACAAGATTGGAATAAAGACAGTGCAGGGAGCAGAGAGGAACAATCCATATGCTTCATCAACTGGGGAGACTGAAACAACCACATAAGACCTTTCTAACTGAGTAACAGACCTGAGGTAACCAAAGAACATCCTTCTGGAAGTCATACTGACAAGGAGAACATGCTGACCAAGCTGCATGGGATGAGATGGGGCTGACAACAACAGAACAAACCAGGGGGCTTCAGGACAGAAGCTGGTGGGAACACCTGGCAGATATACATAGCCACTGTCTCTGGAAAATGAGACATGTGAGATGATCAATGAAGAGGGGGCCATTATTGATGGACTTAGTGAAATGAGTGTCTGATGATGGAGTGCTGTAGAAATGCATAGGGTGCAAGGATCTTCTCTAAATTCAGAAGGCAGAATCACATGGCTGAGCACTTTAAGCAAGTGTGAGAACAGAGCTGATATCTTTGGAAATGGTGGAGATACAATGAAAACCAGAATGCCATACATGGGTGCTAAAAACCTTTAATGTGCACTTAACTTGCTTCCTCTTTTCTCTTTAGCACTGATGACTCATTCTTGTGCAAAGGATGACTGCTCACATCCAGCAGTCTTTCTTCACATGAGGCCTTTAGTCTTCATCTGCATTCATGGGCATTGTGCACAACTTGTCAACAAGTTAGGCAGAGTCAGCTGTAACCATGTCCACAACACCTTTGGTGTGTGACAGCACAAGGCCAGGAGGCTGGGATGAACCAGAGATAGGGGTAAAACACTGGACTTGAGTGGTTTAGGCCAGAGTTGGGTTTCTTGTGGCTGGAGTTGGGTTATCTAGGCTGGACTAGGACTGGACTTGACTGGAGTTAGGGGCTAGGGGTCCAGACTGGGCTGGGATTGAGTCTGAGAGTCATGGATATGACAATAGGTATATACATCTGTAGAAATATGTAGACCTAATAGGTCTTCAAAGGGGGTTGACTGAAGTGCTTGTGAAGCAGGGTATTTTGGACATCAAGGCACAGTCAAGGCTCTTCATTTGAGGCCTTTCATTTCAGCTTGCAAAGAAGGTGGTGACCAGCCTCCTTTTCTGGTTCCCTCAGCATGCCTCAGATCTCTCCTGGCACTTTGTTGATATTGTTCATCACAATAGGTATGTGTTGTTGAACCAGCTGGTTGGTGATGGCACAGGGAAATGGTGGAGTTTGGACCCCCCTCATCAAGTCAAACCTGCTTCAGCTTCAAATAGCCAGCATCCTCTTCAAAGTGACCTCTGACTTCAAGTAAACCCCCTCCCTGCTTTGAGTTGCCTTCAAACAGTCCCCTTCATCCAGTTTTGAGCCTGAGTGTCCCCATGCCTCTTCAAGGGGCTCCGAGTCACATCTGACTTTGCTTTGAGTTGGTTTTGAATGACTTGAATTCTCATCCAGCCTCAAGTAAGCCCTCCCCACAGCTCAGTTTGACTTTGATGAGTACCCCTTGACTCAACTGTCACTCAAATGACTCCCCTGCTCATCAGGGAGCCTTGAAGCAACCTTCTGCCTTTGAGAGGTTCAGTTTCTGCTACTTCTGTGGCCAAGAAGGTCATGTTTGAGCTCAGTGCACTGTGTGCACTTCATATCTAGTGTCAGGCAGGTGTAGGGTCATTCATGGCTGAGTTGTACTACCTACAGGTCAGGAATCCTTCAAAAGGCTCTCAGGCAAATTCTCAGGGAGCAGCTCAACTTCTGGGCCCTGGCTCATGGTCATGGTAGTTCAAGTTCACAGGTACCTTCCCCTGCTTCACCTCTGTCCTCTCCAGGACTCTCCCTCCCTTGTCATGTTCATGCTGAGCCCCCAAATTCAGCTCAAAGTCAAGGTGCCCAAGTTAAAGTGACTGATTCAAGCTTGAGGTTTGTTGAGCACTCCTCAACCTCTGCTGGCCATGTTTCCTCATGCCCTAGGGCCCCAAGAGCTCAGTCATTTCGACTTCAACCCCTCCTCCTGGCTTCAAGTTCAATGAACTGACATCAAACAACCTTGTTTGTCTCCTCTGCCTTCAATTCAAGTTTGTAGCTCCCCTCTGGCTGAACCTTCTCCCCAGCAATGTGCCTGTGCCAGCTCACTTCTTGATTCTGGTCATGTCCCTTGTGAGTTGGTGAAGTGAGTCATGTGGACTTTTGGCTTTTTTTAATGGTCTTCTTGTTTCTGTTTCAAAGCTTGATGCCTTTTGTTTTCTAGACTTGTCTTCGATGTGATACCTGTTCCTTCAGTTTGAACCCCCTTTTTTGTTGACTGAGGACAGTGAGGTTCTCAAGTCCTCCCTACTAAGGAGTTTTAATTATTTTATCTTTTCTACTGTGTATTTGCTTTGATTTACATTAGTGATACTCAACCTACCTTTGTGGCGCATTTTTGGTAGATTAGTCAGCAATTTTTGCAGACTAGTGTAGGTCTACAGCAAGAGGTGTGCATTCGGAGAATTCTGAACACCAACCCCACTTCAGGCATCCTGCTAACTGGTGTCTGGGGTCTTGTTTTTATTCCCTTTTGGGCGAAATTGAGGCTACTGCAGCAATTTCACTTGACTTCATCCTAGCACATTCAATTTAGCATTTATCTGCTCTGCACCTCAGTAAAGGGACCAAATATACTATATACTCTATCATTCTATACACTTAGTTTCTTTTCAATTGCAGTTATTATTGAGATATGAGGAATTCAATGATCTGTATGATATGTCCAAATCAGGATGGAAATAGCCCCTGATACAGTCAATGCATACATTCACTCCTTGTCTGCTCTCTTTCTCAACTCATTCCTTCATTCCTCCACCAAGGATATTGCTATTGCATGGATGTGCTTGCCATTTATCCCTGACATTGCTCTGACACATTAGAATGTTACCCAATTCCATACCAAACCTAGATAATCCCACTCAGAGCTTGGTCAAGTCCCAGAATTCTCAAACCTGGTTATACCCAGCAACTAATACTACCCTATCATGGCACCAATCGCACACAGGCCCCAAACTGTATTCTGATTATTGTAGCCTATCTGCACCAGCTGCATTATCACCTTTCAAATCACCTAATGGGCTTGAGCCCACTTTTCGCATAACCACCACATCTCTTGCTTCTCCTTCCACATCTTCTCACCTTCCACATCCAAGTTCTGCATCTCAAGCACAGCTTTCTCACAATCAAATAGACAAACTCCTCAACATGGGGACTCCTTGGGCATTTTTCATTCTGTACACTCATGATGCCCTCACAGTTTTAATACCAGATAATGGCTTTCACATTCTTGAATGCCCTAGCTGCTCCCTCCCTGTCAAAACAGGCATTTCTAGCAGCATCACTCTTAAGCATAGTGGTCAGTTTACAGCCCTTGTGGTAGCTGTTAACATGTTGTGGAAGCAGATTGTGGATTCAAAACTCACTGTCTTGAGTATCACACTGATGCAGAGCTCAAATTCAAGCTTTCTGTACTCAATGAATGGTAAGATTATCCAAGACTACTATATACCTTGTACTAAAATACTTTCAGGTGGTCCAGTGTTGTCTTGCAAAGAAGCAAGAGTCATGTTGTGTGCTGGTAGTGGGAATGGTGTAGAAGTGAACTGTTCTCTCTGTCGAAAACCAACTGCAGACTTACATTCTCATATGGGCACACACATCCTTCATGCATCACGAGGGGTAGGAGAGACTGATTTGTATTCCACTGTTGGTCAGTTGTTTCCATGTGGTTTCTGTGGACATTCAGGTCATCCTGATTGCACAGTCAAGTTGAAGTCAACCAAATGCATGAAAGAGATCAATACATGCTGTGTTTACCAAATCCCCTTCAAATATGGATTTGGGGAGTGAGGATCCACTGCCCACCCATGCCACAATGTCCCTGTCATCTGTCCATTATGTGTCCACCATGGGTGTGATACCAAGTTCAGAGATGCAGTTTGGCACTATGACATGAAGCAGCACCTCAGTTTCTTCCATCCAGAGTACACTCATCCTGGAAAGGTGATGGGTCACCATTTACCCTGCCATGTCTTTGACATCTTATACATCACACCCACTGAGGAGAAGAAAGCTGGTGTTCCTGCTCACCCTGCTTTTACACTCATTGCTGAGAAGGAGAACTACAGGGATTCAGCAGTTTCCACTGGGCAGAAGAGGAAGGGCAGCAGCACAAGGGCAGTCACCACTGGGGGTAGCTGTTTGTCTGGAGGCCAATGAGCTCACACATAGTTTTGTCTCTCTTTTTTCCCCACTGCCATTACACTCACTTGATGCTCAAAAAAACTGTACTGTCATTCATGTGATGCTTTAGAATCATTTCAAGTACTTTTGTTGTCACATTGTGTTCACATCTGATGCAAAATCCAACTTGTCATTTGTAGCTCTCCTTGTATTGTGGTGAACAGGGTCCCTGCCATTTGAAAATAATTCTGTTATTCTAAAGTGCACATGATGACCTAAACATAGTAATTTTGTGACTGTCATGGGGGGTGGGGCCCCCCCCTTGACTTCTGCAGTTAGTGTACAAGACTTTAACATCACACACCTCTTGGTCTACAGTACACAATAAAAAGAGGCAGTGAAACCATACAGCAAGACAGCAAGTATTGAAGACTGCAATTAAAAGATAGTGACAAGCCCTCAACCTCCAGACACCATTACTTGCTCATCTCACCACTCCATTCATTTTATCCAATTCCAATCTCCTACTTCATCTCTTCACCATTCCAAGCATGGAGCTCCTCTGGGTTGAACTGGACCCACTTCTATCTACCCTTGGGAGTCTCCTGAACTCCCATACTTTGCTTTTCTGCCTGACCTACACCACCTTCTGCCTTTTCCTTTCCTTCAACTTGGCCTTCATCACCTCCTCCTTGTCATTGGTGTCATACTTGATGGCCTCATCTGGCACCTGGGTCCAGTCAATGATGACCCAGCCTTTATTTTTGTTGTCAGGTGTGGCAATCAGTCTCAAGTTGGACATGATGAACAGAATGTGAATGAGATAGAGAAAAGGGCTTAGTGAGCCACTAGTATCAAATTTTTCAAACTCAGCTGAGGTTCAGACTCAGCCTACCACTCTCTATATGTTGGGCATCAAAATTGTATTTTGTCTAAATGTAAGTACATACTGTATGACATGTGTGATATATGTACTTTGGCCAGGATATCACAAAGTGGGAGGCAAAGTAAGTGGTGACAACATGCAGTATGTAATACTGGATGGCAGATATACAATTGGTAGGGTATAGTGATGGTTGGAGATAGTGTGTCAACTGGCAATACATCAACAGGCATGTAAGTATCAAGTTTCATGGATAACCCTAAATCAGTGTACCCTGAGTCATTTCACTGTGTGGCATGGAAACATTTCTGCCATTGCTTGCCATGGGCCATCTGGCTTAAATCCAACTCTGGGCAACAGCCTCTAGGAAGGATTACTGAGGTCCACATTGAATAAAATGGCCTTCTAAGTGCTGGGGGGGTCCAAAGGAGTAGCTGTTCCTTTGGACCTCTGATCCAACCATCATCCTTCAACTTGACTGGTTGGCCCAGCATAGCATCCTTTTGCATGGACTCATCAATGAGTGGAGTACTGTCATGCAGTGCATGTAAGGGGTCAAATGAAAAGCAAATGGGATTTTCTTTGATACCTGCATTTCTGGTTGAGTGAAATGAGAATGCATAAAGGGTGGAGATACATACCATCTGCAGGGGGGAGTACACTGGAGGGGTTGGATACCACTATTGTCAACTTCTCATGGACACTGGTCATTCCAGGATAGTGATCAGCCTCCCAGACCTTCACAGTGTTATCCTGTGAGCCTGAGACAATCCTCTTCCCATCAGGGGAGAATGCAACTGAGCTGACTGCAGAAGTATGGCCCTCAAGAGGGCTACCAACCTGCACACTTTCTTCAACATCCCAGACTCTCACAGTCTTGTCCTCTGAGCCTGAGACAATCCACTTCCCATCAGGGGAGAATGCCACTGAATTGACACAATTTGTATGGCCCTCAAGAGGGCTGCCAATCTGCATCCCTCCCTCAACATTCCAGACTCTCACAGTCTTGTCCCAAGACCCTGAGACAATCCTCTTCCCATCAGGGGAGAATGCAACTGAGTTGACTCCCAAAGTATGACCCTCAAGAGGGCTGCCAATCTGGACTCCTGTCTCAACATCCCAGACCCTTACAGTGTTGTCCTGTGAGCCTGAGACAATCCTTTTCCCATCAGGAGAGAATATGATTGATTTGACTGAAGAAGTATGACCCCCAAGAGGGCTACCAATATGCACACCTCTCTCAACATCCCAGACCCTCACAGTCCTGTCCTGTGAGCCTGAGACAATCCTCTTCCCATCAGGGGAGAATGCAACTGATTTGACTGCATCTGTATGGCCATCAAAATGGCTCCCAATCTGCACACCTCCCTCAACATCCCAGATTCTCACAGTCTTGTCCTGAGAGCCTGAGACAATCCTCTTCCCATCAGGGGAGAATGTAACTGAATAGACTCCAGAAGTGTGACCCTCAAAGTGGCTGCCAATCTGCACACATCCCTCAACATCCCAGACCTTCATAGTCTTGTCCCAGGAGCTTGAGACAATCCTCTTCCCATCAGGAGAGAATGCAACTGAATAGACTCCAGAAGTGTGGCCCTCAAAGTGGCTGCCAATCTGCATACCTGCCTTAACATCCCAGACTCTCACAGTCTTGTCCTGAGAGCCTGAGACAATCCTCTTCCCATCAGCAGAGAATGCAACAGAAAAGACTCCAGATGTATGTCCCTCAAGAGGGCAGCCAACCTGCACACCTCTCTCAACATCCCAGACCCTTACAGTCTTGTCTTGTGAGCCTGAGGCAATCCACTTCCCATCAGGGGAGAATGCAACTGAAAAGACTCCAGAAGTATGTCCCTCAAGAGGGCTGCCAATTTGCACACCAGCCTCAACATCCCAGACCCTCACAGTCCTGTCTTGTGAGCCTGAGACAATCCACTTCCCATCAGGGGAGAATGCAACTGATTTGACTGCATCTGCATGGCCCTCAAAATAGCTCCCAATCTCCACACCTCCTTCAACATCCCAGACTATCACAGTCCTGTCCTGTGAACCCGAGACAATCCTCTTCCCATCAGGGGAGAATGCTACTGAATTGACAAAATCTGTATGGCCCCCAAGGGGACTGCCAATCTGCATACCTCCCTCAACATCCCAGACTCTCACACTCTTGTCCCAAGACCCTGAGACAATCCTCTTCCCATCAGGGGAGAATGCAACTGAATTGACTCCATCTGTATGGTCCTCAAGAGGGTTGCCAATCTGCACTCCTGCCTCAAAATCCCACACCCTCACAGTCTTGTCCCAAGAGCCTGAGACAATCCTTTTCCCATCAGGGGAGAATGCAACTGAAAAGACTCCAGAAGTATGTCCCTCAAGAGGGCTGCCAATTTGCACACCAGCCTCAACATCCCAGACCCTCACAGTCCTGTCCTGTGAGCCTGAGACAATCCACTTCCCATCAGGGGAGAATGCCACTGAATTGACACAATCTGTATGGCCCTCAAGAGGGCTGCCAATCTGCATACCTCCCTCAACATCCCAGACCCTCACAATGTTGTCCTGTGACCCTGAGACAATCCTCTTCCCATCAGGAGAGAATGCAACTGACTTGACTACAGATGTATGGCCCTCAAGAGAGCTGCCAATCTGCACACCTCCCTCAACATCCCAGACCCTCACAGTCTTGTCCCAAGATCCTGAGACAATCTTCTTACCATCAGGGGAGAATGCAACTGAATTGACTGCATCTGTATGGCCCTCCAGGGGGCTGCCAATCTGCACACCTCCCTCAACATCCCAGACCCTCACAGTCTTGTCCCAAGAGCCTGAGACAATCCTCCTCCCATCAGGGGAGAATGCAACTGAATTGACTGCATCTTTATGACCCTCCAGGGGGTTGCCAATCTGCACACCTCCCTCAACATCCCAGACTCTCACAGTCCTGTCCCTTGAACCTGAGACAATCTTCTTCCCATCAGGTGAGAATGCCACTGAATTGACCAAAGAAGTATGGCCATGCAGAAGAAGCTGTGCAACTGGCCAACCTTTCAAACCTCCTTCAGCCACTACAGCAAGACCTGTGAATTTTGGCAAGAGCATTGTTGATAACAATGCATTGGGAGGAATGAATGGCAATGCAGAAACATAAAGGTGTGGGGTGCTGTGCAATATCACACTGCCAAAGTTCTGGATCAACTTGATTCCATCTTCTACCAATGTCAATGCATCCTTGAAGCTATCTTGTCCCTTCATCATTGTGTCAGATGTTATCACATACTGCACATGGAGTACTTACCTTTAGCCATGTTGCAATAGTGTCAAGTGCATCCACACCCTTTCCAACCACCCCAAGAAGGCTCATTATCTCCAGCCAGAACAGAATTTTTTCACTTCCAACAACATCCTTCACCAGCAATGCAAGTTCCAAGTCAAATGCTGTTTTCCACAGGTGCTGGGCCCAGAATTGACTGGAGTAGGAGAGATGGTGTGGAATTTTCTCTTTGATTCTCTCTGATAGATCAGAAACATCAGCATTGGCCAGGTATGAGCTTTCCAATGCACAGATATTGAATTGGAGGCCATCATGAAGAATCTGCAATGCAGCAAAAGCCATGTCCCGTGCATGCTGTGTGTTGACTGTGTCAATGAAATAGACACCACTTCGTTCTTTATCCATCAGGAAGTCGTAGAAAGATCCATGAAGGGGCCGCACAGGGGAGACGCGGTCCACAATACCACCCAGAACTGGAGACAAGAACTCGAGGATGGGAACAATATCATAGCGGTCCCACTCGTTTGGGAATTTTTCGCGCATCAACTTCAAGGCTGCCAAAGGAAGAGGTTCTAGCGTCATCAGGACTTGCTGCATCACGGAGCGATATCGTTCCAGGTCTTTCCCAGATTGAGGTATGCCCCCCTCTAGGATTGCCAAGTAAGTCGTATCCAGGAGCGTTCTTCCTTCGTCCGACTCGAGAGCCATCAGATCGTTGTAGCGTTCTTTCGAAGTTTCTCTAGCTCTACCTGACCTGATGAACTCACAAGCCAGACGAGCCCACTCGAACAGACCATCAGATTTGTCGACAACATTTTGGACTTCCGTTGCTCCAATGCTGGGAAGACAGTCAAGTTCCTTGGAAACATATAGCTGTATATCACGTTTCACCAACTCCCAATGGATGTCGTCCAATGAGGTTGCCTTCACATGTGGAACATCCCTCATGACACGTTCAATATCCGGCAATGGTCTGGACGTCAAAAGGATCCGGAAATTGGCTGGCAGACGGGCAGCTTCTGACGATTTCAGAAGACTCAGGATAC